CTTGCATGAATGGTTTCTCTGTGGCTGCACCACAGAGATGAACAGAGAAATGGGGCCTCATTTGGGAAGCTCAGAAACACTTAATTCTGCATTATTATTAAGCCTCGCCGCTACACTGTAAACAAACGCCGTCCTTCGGATGAGACATAAAACAGAGGTCCTGACTCTCTGTGGTCATTAAAAATCCCAGGGCGTCTCTCGAAAAGAGTATGGTTGTAACCCCGGCGTCCTGGCCAAATTTCCCATCGGCCCTTACCAATCATGGCCTCCTAATAATAATCCTCCTCTATGAATTGGCTTCATTACTCTGCTCTCCTCCTCACTGATAGCTGACGTGTGGTGAGCGTTCTGGCGCACTATGGCTGCCGTCGCATCATCCAGGTGGAATCTGCACATTGGTGGTGGTGGAGGGGAGTCCCCATTATCTGTAAAGCGCTTTGAGTGGAGTGTCCAGAAAAGCGCTATATAACTGTAAGCAATTATTATTATTATTACATCTGTTGTACCATATTTACAAATATAAGCCACACCCAGAAATTTGGACAGTGGAGATTTACAAAGCACAAGTTACCTTCCCAATAGAAACATTTGAAATGAAAACGTTCTCTTGGATGTAAATAAATACTGGAAAATAGAGACAAAAAATATAGTAAACCATTTAACTCCCTCGTATCCGAAAGAAAGGGGCTCCAGATACAAGGGAGTTTAAAGCAAACTGATAAGCAATATCTCCTAGCCTAAAGCAACACGACAATGATAAAACCCACTCCTCATTATCCAGGCATGGGATGCTCTGAATACTGGACTTGGAATGTTTAGTTGTGCAGCTGCCTTAAGGGCTTTAAACTTAATATTATCTGTTGTGACCACAAATCCAAACTGCCTTTTGCTTGATGACTCCCATGCTGTTAAGCACACAAGATCACCTCCTTCTCGAATGCAAACGTGTACTGTGATCTCATGTTCATTTTGGATACTTAAAAAGTTATATCAAAGTTTTATCATTTAATTGCAACAACACTCCAGAACCAAGCAAAATGGAAGTTTGTTACAGTACATGTGAACGGTTCAACATTGTTCAGCACTCCGGTATTAAACATATCAACAACTAGATCGACTTCCAATTTATTTTACTTGTATTTGAACACAAGCCTAAAATTTGGACAAAAAAGTGTGGCTTCAGGTAAATACATTGTCATAGGGCTGCAATGCATTAGACATGCAAATGAAATATGCTTGGAACATGTGTAAGTAGTTGATTCAATAATCACAACCCCATACACACAATTCCATTTGTACTGTGAAATGCACAGACTATTAAAAAACTATTACAGCAGGGTTACAGCAGTCATGGCTACGTATGGCAGCAGACTCTATTAAAAAGCCTCTATTGTATTTAACAGGAAGCAACTCTTAATACTGTAATTATTTGATATTAGTATCCAAGAGGGACAGCACAGTGGTTAACACTCCTGGGGCCTCATGTTCAATTTCCTTGTATGGTGTGTTGTATCTGAGTACTTACGTTTCCTTCCACAGTCCAAAGACATGCTGTTAGGTTAACTGGGTTCTGGGAAAATTGACCCTGGAACATGTGCTTGTTTGCATCTGTGTGGGCACTGCGATGGACTGGTGTCCCATTCAAAGTGTATTGCATCCGCTGGCTGCTGAGTTAGGCACCGGCTCCCCAGTGACCAGTACTAGATAAAGAAGTAAGATGATGGAATGATGGTACCAAGAATGTGGCTCATTTTTTTGTTTGTGAAAAATCACACAATGAAAGGGTTCCAAACTTTTATGGATTCATTATGGATGTTATATTCAAACTTTGGCAAGCCCTCCACCCAACCCAACAGCTGTACAGAAGAACAAAACATATCACCATGGAAAAACAAGACATTGATATATGTTTTTAAATTTCTTAGGTGTTAAATTGCAGCCTAGGTGCTCTGGGTGGTTAATTGTATATCTCCCCCTAAACAGAATATGGCAAAAATTAAAAGAAGAAACTTTTAGGAAACAAAATAATTATTTTTCATAAATTAAGCACAACAACCAGATATATTGGGGGAACAACACCTGTAAAACAAAAACAATGACATTCCACATTTGCTTACTTAAAATTAAACTACAAACCAGAAACATGGGGACAGTAATCAAAACATAGTCCCATGGAGTTGCACCAAAATTGGTTTAACCAGATTTACAAGGAACTTTGTTAGAAGTTCAAGTGTGGTACTGAGAAGCTACACCTTCCTGCAGGATGACCAGTCCAGGTGGTGGCTACTGCAGGCAAGGCGAGCAGCTGGCCCCAGCACTGTGGACGTTGAGGTCTGAGGCACCTGCTGCTTGTCCACTCGCAGGCTGTCACCTCTGAAAATTGGGAACATCCAACGCTGGGGCTTCTGGAGAGGAATCAGTGTGGAAATATCCCTTCTCAACTCCTTAGGCACATGGCAGTAATCTGTGAGAACAGGGCTGATGCAGGCATTACTGAATTCCTCTAAACATGTACAAGTATGGAAACAGGAAGGCTTGAGTGCAGAATGCAAAAATAACAGTGTAAGTAGGGTAAGTACTGGGTCGGATAAGTCAGACTCTTCCAGGAAAACAATGGTCAGCAATAAACTGGTAGAGCCAAATAGCACAGTGCCTAGGGAGACTGCTGCTATAACTAGTTGGGATGGGGGGTATTTTGTAGTTTTAGCACTGTGGGATTCAGGCAGATGGACCCATTTCTTCTTGTTATTTAGGTCTCATTTAACTCTGGCTGTAACAGCTTAGCCACTCAGCTGACTCTGTGATTTTCTAAGAGATCTGGATATTACAATACATATTTGTGACTGGTATTTTTTATTCTGTGGTTAAACACACAGTATTGTTTTGTCTGCCTCTTGACATTTACGGTATCACAAAAGATTTAATGAGGCTCTAGTTAGCTTAGCTTTTGAGAATGAGTGCATTTAGAGCTTAGAAAAAGAAAATACAATTTTATTTCCCTATTTTGTGCTCTGGTAAGACCTTTTTGTAAAAATTACAACTTAACTGACCTACACTGTGACTTCCTGCATCTCTACAGCATTAAACCAGGAAAACTAGTGAAACAAGGACACAAACGGAAATTATGATCAAGTGCTTTAAGGTCTGAGACCAGGTAAGACATCTTTATCCATATGGGAAGGTCTTTTTAAAAATATGGACATGACTCTTGGTTCTACAAGCTACCATCAACTACGCAAGGAAGATTGGACAAAACAGTTGTAAACGTTCTAGGTTGAATATCTTTAGACAGGCAACATACCTCTACCATCCTCTTTTTGTGGTATATTATTGATGTCTGGGGTGCTTTGGGCAGAGAAGGATGTCCGTCTGCTACCTGTTTGCTGCTGACATTCAGTTGATGAGCACATTTCATTAATGCATTCCAACGGCTCCTGGAAGGTAACAGAAGCCTTTGTTGTGCAGTAAGTGAGAGAAATATGTAACACAATCAAAGAATTAACCAAAAAATAAGTATCAAATGTTGTGAGTTCAACTAGAATAGAGAACTATTCTCTTTTATACTTAGTGGCACTATAATTATATTGCTACTCTCTTGTCCATAACATTCTTAAATGCTATGGATTACCAAGGCAACATTACAACCTGAATGTTGGTCACAAATCCTGATAAAATCCTAGCAAAATGGAAAAACTACAGAAACATAATTTTTAGTTAAATTAATTATCTATTTTCTAAGCATGCATAGAAAAGTATATTCATTACCGACTTTTTAACTTAATATTACAATTTGACTTTCCAGTTCTAGTTTTCTTATTATTATCGTGCATACTTTTCTTAGCTACAAAAAACGTTCTACAGAGTTTAACCACAATAAAACATAAGACAGTAGTTGCAGTACTTGAAAGCCAAAGATGACCAAATTAAAATCAATCGGAAAATATTTTTCAAAATGTATTTTTTAATCTTTTATATTTGAATAATAAACCAGTTATTTTCTGTTTTAAACCTTGTAAAATATTTGAGTCAGTGTTTTAATTAAAATGGAGAGGAAATCAGAGTGCAGTGTCATGAAATCCGATAAACTCCCAGCACTGCTAAATTGATTCAGTGTCCTTCAGTTCTGACGTCAACAGGTCTGTAGCAGTGCAGTCCCGAGAGCTAATTAATCACACCAGCTGCATGTTCACTGTGGCTGCTGTCCATTACTGGAATGAGAGCTTCATCAATGTCACAGAAAACACCAAACAGTTACAACCTTAGGCAAAGGTAGCACATTTTACACAAAACACTGCTTTTGCAGGAATGAACACTTGACCGCATTAAGGTGGCTGAAAAAATCGATAAGCAGCAGAGTTTTATGAATGAGAACCTTACATCACATGATTTTACTACCCAGAAACTTCACTACCCAGAAACTTTAACTCAAAATATAACTCATCTCTATGCAAAATTCAAAATTACAATGCAGGAACATTCTGATTCTTATTTCAAATGTGTTGGATTATGTACCTTCAAACTCTAACTAAATGATGTCTAATTAAAGTACTATAAAACAGTAAAAACTTATTGGCAAAAACAACACAATTTTTCCGGTTAAAAATCAATGTTTTTTTAATATAAACAGATCGGCTTTTTTTCTGTGTCCATTCTCCCCATAGCTCTGATAGTATCTGTACAGATTCTGGTTTTGCAAGCTGCACAGTTTTCATGGCATACTGTAGATGTCTGAACTGGGCTACTAACTATCATGCTAGTTATGGTTAAAATGTTCTGAATGCATAATTTATAAAAATAATATTGATTCACAAATTTTAACACAATTAAATGTTTCATTATGATTATGAGCACTATGAATGCACAATATCGATATCAACAGAGACCGCCAACCTTTATCTTACTTTTAGAGTAAGACACAAACACACATACATTAACACCAGGGCCAATTTATATAGTAGCCAAATAACCTACCAGCATGTCTGGACTGTGAGAGGAAATTGGAGCCCTCAGAGTAAACCCATGCAAACACATATATTGTATGACATATACAAATTCCACAGAGCATCCCAGTACTACTACATTAGTAATCATACTATCATAATCATATATAATGAACACCTATACCTGGATCCTGCTTTCAAGATTGTTGTCAAACTCCAGTTCTGGAAGATCACTGAAGTCCACCTCGTTCTGCAGTGCAGAGCTCTTGGTTTTCAGTGTTTGGGATGACCCACTAGCACCACTGTCCTCCAAGGTTATCTGCAAGGAGACAAAGAAAATGATATGAATCAAGCCTTTGACAGCAAAGCACATTTTAAATTAATTAAAACAGTATTCCATAAGATAGAGCTGATGTGTAATATGTCGCATTGTCTTTCCAGAACAGTAATAATGGCAGTCTGAAGTTTTGAGCATATCTCTTTTAACAGAGATAATCACAAGCAAGGGCCAGTTCTCTGCCAGAATGGTGCCAAACCATTAAAACAACTGTGACAGTCAACAAGAAATCTGATTTAAAAATGACACTATTCTTGCGAGCTTTACCACAATGAACCAGATAAAAAATGCTCAACAAATTTCAGCAAAACTTTTGTACCACTCAGTACACTATATCCACTTTAAACAATACAGAAATGTGAGGGCTTATAGCAAAAACATTTTTGTAGACATCATTTCTGCTGACTCAGAATCTGAACACATAGTTTTCTAAAATACTGCACCTCAGATGACTCCTTACACAATATGACATGTACAGATACTAGTGCCAGAGATCTAATCTTTACATTACTGGCCCAATGTTTTTATAAATATGCACACTAAATGGCAATGTTTTCCAAATTTTCACCTGATCACCATAACTATTCTGTTTCTGTCACAAATGAAGAACTCAATCTATCATCTTTTGCCATTGCTGGATAATGGTCTTGGTCTTAAATTTCAGCTTCAGGCACCTGTTTGTACATTTGCATGTTCTCCTCCCCTTGTGCATATGGATATTCTCCCACCTCCAAAGGAGAAGCAGGTTAGGAGAGACTCAAGATTTTTAAATTGTTCCTGCCAAGGACCGACCCCAGGTTGAAAAGACGAAGGCAGCTGAGCACCACTCTTTTGTGCCTTGTCACGTTATGGTTAGGAGACTCCCTAAACTGCACTCATTTTCGATTACAAACTGCATGGATGAATAGAATTAGAAGTAACCTTCTGACAAAAGGCATTGTCGTACCTGCTGTTTTTGGGAAAGCCTGCTATGGAAAATAGTCAGAATGTCATCTTCTGGACTGTCTGTGATGGGACTGTCTAACTGCTCTCTGGCCCTCAAGTACAAAACCACTGGGTTGAACTGCCTGAAAGGCTGCAAATTAAATATGTGTTAATATCTGCATTAATAAATATATTGCCAATTTCCTACATGGACTATGCTTTTGACATCTGTATAACAAATGAGCCCAAATACATTTACATTTCATGCAGCATATTGATGGAGCACAATGCTGTCTCAAAGGATATCATAATCTTAAAGTCGGTCACAACTTGAACATGAAGCCAGTTTCAAACTGAACACAGGGCACCTCTCCGATCTCAACAACGCTACAGGGGATAGCGTAGCCCTCCATCTTCATGGCATTGTGAATGTAAAGGTCTTCACTGGTATGTGTGTCACACAGGAACAAATGCAAAACATCCTTCATGTAACAGTATATCACAGCAATCATGGGTCTTTCGCAGCACAGCTTCTTGAAATAACCGACAGCACCTTCACTCCAGGAGCCCTGTTAATTAACACAATACATTTAATTATGTACAATAATAACAAAGCAAATGATGTGCAAATAAATTATACATTTATGCATTGATTTTTGTTCGAAATTTGATTTTGTAATTAACAATTGCATATTTCTTACATCTCAGTTCACAGCTACAAAACCTGTATCCTACTTGAGCTATTCATATTGGGAAATATCATAAGCAACACAGCTCTGTACTAAGTCCAGAACCAATTGGAGAAAAAAGCACATCCCTCACCGACAATACTGCAAGCTTTTAACTGCTCTAGAGACTGCAGAGGTTGGCTGAAAGCCGAAAGTGCGCTACTCAAATAATCCCAACCTTACTTCTGCTTGGTTGAGGACTGTTACCTAGGGAAACCCAGTTAGAGGTCTGCATGGGCATGAAACTGAAGTCTGAACCTGGCCCGTACCCAAGACTTTGAGACCCAACCCAACAGAGACCAAAAAGTACTGCCAAATATGAAACCCGAATCCAAAATCGGTCACTCTCTTTTTCTCTCAGAGCGAGTAGACACACATGCACACACGGAGACGGATTCTCACAGACGCGGTTTTACAATGCTTTGCTCAGCTGCTATGCGCTACACACATACGAGAGAGAGAACGAGTGAGCGGCAAAATGAGTTACGGATTTCTTCTAATAAAAATTAATTAAAAAAAATAAATTAATAATAATAATACATTTTCACTTATTAGAAAACAAATATGACAGGTCAAGGGAGGCACAGACCCAAAATGTTTGGGAACCCTTGCCTTAGGCAGTACTGTACTTCAAGTGAAGTGGGACACCTTCTATATATGAATTGCTTTCCTAATGCTCTATACAAATGCAAGCAACGACTTATTGTGTGTGTAACACCTGCTACAAAGCAGAGATTTAAACAAACAGATGACCTATAAGGATAACTGGATTAGGTCCCTCCAGGATGTGCAGCGTCGAAGACCTTACACTATATAAAAAGACATAAAAGAAATTCAGATTTTCTATATGACCTTGTAACTGCACTCTTAGAACTTACATGAGGAACAAGTTCTGATAATTTCTATTATTAAGACAAAACAGTGCTGCCTACTTTGACAACTAAATGATACTATTAAAAATGATACCTGCTGCTGTGTCTAAATGACTAAAGAGATGCAGAGGTTAGGTACTGTTTCTACGTATATTGAAGTAAATGTCTTAATTATCACTTACTGAAATGAACGTGTTTTCATAACCTGAAATGAGACACTAATAAATATGTATAACTTAACAAAAATATGTATTCCACAACAATAAACTCAGATACAAAGTACAAGCACTTTTATTTGGAACTTTTTTATATGGAACAAAACCAGTTAGGCAGCTCTGAAGTTGTGTTCATATCTTAATTTGCACTATGCAAGATCATCCAAGGCCAGATTGTAGAAGGAATAAGGAATGCACTTTCCTAATGATCTCTCATAAGCCCTTTATGTATGCCTAGTCCCAACCGAGATGACTCCCAGAATGAAAAGCCCCATCTGCCATTCAATCAACAAAGGGGTTCTCCCCCTTACCCACGATGACGTCACAACTGATTGACTTTTCCTAATTTAAATTTTCCGAGGGCTCAGTTTATCCACATGTGTACAGGGTGAACTGTTGGGGAAAGGCAGTAGGGAATAAAATCCACCGAACCTGAGAAGGTTTGATCCAAGTCAAAGTTGAAGGGACAGCCTGAGCTGGAAGTGTGGAATAGCACAACCTGCAAGAAAATAGGAGGCAAGCAAATTAAAACATATTCATCCCCATTTCAATCCTTCCTTCACTGACATTCACTATGGTTATCAGAAAAGACTAAAAACAATATTTGTAATTGTAATTCTTGTTAAAGCAACATCCTGTCAAAACAGTCAATAAAACATATTTTTGGAAGTTTTAAAAACAAATTCTGAAAGTTAACCATGCTTTCCTCATTTATCTCTCCATTGGATTATTATACTTATGTAATGAAAAACATATGACACAAAAAGGCCACAAAGAGCCTGCATGTGTTTTTTAAAAATATTATTTAATCATTGCCAGCTGATAAACATCACTAATCAACCGACACCTATCTTAGTGAAAATGTGTCCACTCAAACATTTGGGGACATCAGTCCCCATATGACTGGCAACAACAATTAATAGTGCAAGCACACGTTAGCTTATAACCTCATAAGGCAATTAACTAACCTCCTTATCTGTGGCTTTCAAACCACTGCATCTAAAACTGTAGCTGTCTTAACATAAAGGGAGAGTTTAGTACTGTCAATTGTGACTCAACATGCCTGTGATACACCCCTTTTCATTTCTTGTACATTCCATGGTAACGGAATTTATTTATTGTTACGTGATGAAATTAAGTAACCTTCACCAAATTTATTTGAGACATGCCGAGTAAGACTAGTATATTAGCAAAGAACTAAGCCAGTACCATTAACTAAGCCAGCCACAATACCATTTTTAGTTTATTAAAGTATTGATGGAAAAAGATGAATGAAGGACCTAGCTAAATAAAGGACCTATGTTTTTACTCTGTAGTCCTCCTTTTAGAAGGAATCCTCGATCTGTATTATAATAAAATAACTAAGTTTACATGGATACATTTTCCAATAATGTTGTTATTATTATACTCTTCTTATTACTGTATTAGCCTAAAGATTTCACTTTAAAACTACGTGTTTCTGACACATTCACCATGAATATCCCTTTAGTGGGCAAAACCCCCCTTTACCAGATATTTAATGCAGTTGTTGCCATTGTACCCCATGAGCAATTCTGGTTTGTCTATTATTAAACCAGCTGACAGCAACAGAAATGTGCCATTTATATAAGGCCTCTCAGTTTTTACAACACAAGAGGACATTTCAGGTGTCTAATAACATACGGTAGTATATGGTACCACAATAAGTATATTAATGTCTAAAACATCAGAAATCGGAGTTTGGGAATTTCCATTATACTTACTTGAGAAATTTCAGATTACTCTTCTCCACGCAGTTCAGACCTCCAAAGTCCACGCAGTATACCTCTACTTTGAGGTCGCTCACAATACGATGGATGACAACCCTATAGAACCACAAGCCACTGGGAGCCACACAGCCCACTTGGCCCACACGCACAAAGGGTTCTGGCATCTGGTAGCGCTTGGCCACTTCAGGAGACGAGTAGCAGCATCTGAAAACACAGGAGAAACAGATTTACAGTTCACCAGCACCTCATATTCACAGCACATCACCACGCTCTTCTGCCTCACGTGCTTCTCCTTCTCCTCATTACAGACACCTCCAGACACCTGGACTCCACACGTAACCACCTTTCTCCCCAAACTCATCCTTCTCAGACTTGCTGCACCGTCTTGCTTGCTACACATTGAAACCTGCAATTGTTCAACAGTAATGCACTCTTTGACATTGTAATTCAAAAGCACCTTTAATAACATGGTGAATTCTCAAGCTTTTTGTCTTTATCATACAGAATGAGTAATATGTATGTTTGTGTAGAAGATGTTCTTACATAAGCTGCAGAAAACTGCAATAAAGTGTATTATATATGGACATACAAAAATGAAAAACACAATCTATAATTTGTATTACACTATAGATCTTGTTTCAATAGGTTGTGTCACTAATTTTACAGCAATGTTTGCAGAAAAAGCAGCCCATCAACAAGAAGGACAGGTAGGTAGTTTTTAAGTCATCCCTAGTAACTTTGTAGCTGGCACTGATTAACAGTTATTTCATTTAAGACTAGAATTATTGAGTTATCTCTTCACTTTTCAATATAATTCAGTTCATATTGTGATTACGAATCTACGATAGTCCCAAATCCGTTAAAGAACATGGAACTAAAAAACACAAATGTAAAAAAATAAAGTCTAATTAGCCAGCAAACGATGTAACTCAAAGCTGTAGCCTCTCAGCTGTAGGACAACTGGGGTCAGGCGCCTTTACTAGTCATGTTGGATGTTAGGTGGATGCTGCACATTGGTGGTGGTGGAGGGGAGTACCCATTACCTGTAAAGCACTTTAAGTGAAGCGTCCAGAAAAGTGCTATATACAGTGGTGTGAAAAAGTGTTCCTGATTTCTTATTTTTTTGCATGTTTGCCACACTGAAATGTTTCAGATCATCAAACAAATTGAAATATTAGACAAAGATAACACAAGTTAACACAAAATGCAATTTTTAAATGAAGGTTCTTATTATTAAGGGGAAAAAAAAATCCAAACCTACATGGCCCTGTGTGAGAAAGTGATTGCCCCCCCTGTTAAAACATAAATCAACTGTGGTTTATCACATCTTTGGAAAGCTGAGTTCAATTTCTCTAGCCACACCCAGGCCTGATTACTGCCACACCTGTTCTCAATCAAGAAATCACTTAAATAGGACCTGCCTGACAAAGTGAAGTAGACCAAAAGATCCTCAAAAGCTAGACATCATGCTGCGATCCAAATAAATTCAGTAACAAATGAGAAACAGAGTAATTGAGATTTATCAGTCTGGAAAAGGTTATAAAGCCATTTCTAAAGCTTTGGGACTCCAGCGAACCACAGTGAGAGCCATTATCCACAAATGGCAAAAACATGGAACAGTGGTGAACCTTCCCAAGAGTGGCCGGCCGACCAAAATTACCCCAAGAGCGCAGCAACGACTCATCCAAGAGGTCACAAAAAAACCCACAACAACATCCAAAGACCTGCAGGCTTCACTTGCCTCAGTTAAGGTCAGTGTTCATGACTTCACCATAAGAAAGAGACTGGGCAAAAATGGCCTGCATGGCAGAGTTCCAAGACAAAAACCACTGCTGAGCAAAAAGAACATAAAGGCTCGTCTAACTTTTGCCAGAAAACATCTTGATGATCCCCAAGACTTTTGGGAAAATACTCTGTGGACTGACGAGACAAAAGTTGAACTTTTTGGAAGGTGTGTGTCCCATTACATCTGGCGTAAAAGTAACACAGCATTTCAGAAAAGGAACATCATACCAACAGTAAAATATGGTGGTGGTAGTGTGATGGTCTGGAGCTGTTTTGCTGCTTCAGGACCTGGAAGACTTGCTGTGGTAAATGGAACCATGAATTCTGCTGTCTACCAAAAAATCCTGAAGGAGAATGTCCGGCCATCTGTTCGTGTTCTCAAGCTGAAGCGCACTTGGATCCAAAACACACCAGCAAGTCCACCTCTGAATGGCTTAAGAAAAACAAAAAGAAGACTTTGGAGTGGCCTAGTCAAAGTCCTGACCTGAATCCGATTGAGATGTGGCATGACCTTAAGAAAACGGTTAAAGCTCGAAAACCCTCCAATGTGGCTGAATTACAACAATTCTGCAAAGATGAGTGGGCCAAAATTCCTCCACAGCACTGTTAAAGACTCATTGCCAGTTATCGCAAACGCTTGATTGCAGTTGTTGCTGCTAAGGATGGCCCAACCAGTTATTAGGTTTAGGGGCAATCACTTTTTCACACAGGCCATTTTTTTTCTTTAATAATAAAAACCTTCATTTAAAAACTGCATTTTGTGTTTACTTGTGTTATCTTTGTCTAATATTTCAATTTGTTTGATGATGAAACATTTCAGTGTGACAAACATGCAAAAAAATAAGAAATCAGGAAGGGGGCAAACACTTTTTCACACCACTGTAAGTGTGAGGAATAATTCTTATTATGTTGCTCTGGAGCCCCAAGGTCTGCCCACTCACCTCATCTGAAACATCATGTTCTCCAGGGCCCTGGCCTCGTGTGTGTCTGAGAAGCGGATGTAGAACTGGCTGGGAGACACCACTTTCTCTACCAGCACAGGCACAAAGGTTTCCTCCTGCCGTCGTGCAGCAGGTTGCAGACAACCACTCTGCATTGCATCTGGAGGGATCTTTGGCTCTTCTACCTGAGGCAACATGGGATGGAGCATGTCCAGCTTCTGCAGAAGACAACAGAAAAAGCGTGCTGAGTGAGAGAATTATGGGTTACTACAAAACTACTAATTAGATCACATTATACACACTCCCCACAATACCTGTGTTTCTTTTATGTGCTTCTTAACTGTGTCTTTACATGACACATATCTCATACTAGTTGGAGGCAACCCTTTCTTAGCCATTGTTTGAATTTCCATTCATGATATTGCAGCAGTCCTGCATTATTTGCTCTAGACGTGTCTGTGAGGGTGGAAGGAAGAACAAGAGAGTTTAACGGCCTTCTAACGGCTTAATGGATTCCCTAAATGATGATAATAAATTTGTGGGATAACTGTTTAATGGCTGCTAATTACACTATTACTGTGTAGCAGCAAGGCTTATTAATAATACAGGAATTAAGTTTGCTGCTCCCTTGCCAGTCTCTCTCTCCCTCATCTAAGTGGTGCTGGACACAGAGAGGCCATTCCATGTGGTTCAGATATAAGGTGTTTTTCTATGTGACAGAGTTTCCCGATAAGGAACAACTCCCAAGGCTGAGATTCTCCCGCAAATCATCTCTGGTGCCTTACTGTCTGGGAAATTCCAAGAGAGTCTCATCCCAAGGTTTACAACCCAAGGTTAGAGAGCATTGATACTCATCCTCCACCTTGATAAGCCAATCGGGAACTGGTAGGGCAGGGTAACCACACGTGGGTCTCAAATGCCCGCGGAACTTTCAACCAATGAATGACCGTAGTTCCTCCAGATAAAAGAGGCAGCACAGGGCCCAGAAGGTGCCCCTCTAGGACATTCTCAGACTCAGCTCGGACAATCATGTGACAGCCAGTGTGTCCGAGCGCCAGGACTTTACTCTGTTCCAAGAGTCAAGACCGGAGGTCGCCGCGTGTAACCAAAGGATCCACCCGAAGGTTAGCCCAGCAGCAAGCTTCGTGAACCCACCGCGGACACTCAGCTGATCAACAAGTGAACTACTGTTGGAACTGTGGACAGCTGAATATTAGTATTCAGGACTAGCGCTACATCGGGAACAAACCGGTCTTCTTCCAGTCTAAAGAGTGTGACTTGCTTGGACATGCAGTCACTTTTCATGTGCATAAACTCTGCTAGTCCAGCCAGGACTAACTAGCCGGTCTTCAGAGAGTCACTCCCAGCGTGCCGCGGCAGGAATCTCTTCCTCCATCTCCCACACCTCCAGCTGCACCAGGACTGCCTGGCACCGGCCCAAAGGATGCCGATTGGATGCAGCAACAGCCTGTCGCTGTTTCTTTGTGTCCGCAGGAGATCTGAATCCACATAGATTGGATAAGTATTCAACATTACAGCAGAATGTACACAATTGTGGATGATTGCTTAAGGCTTTATTATAAATACAAGGTGAAAGATGTGTTCATAACACTAATTCACAAAAATCTTAAGGACCTCCAAAGTTCCAAAAGTCACCAATTGTCCAACAGTCATTCCCAGCAACAAGGCTGGACAGCTTGTTCCAGACTCCCATAGTACTATTCACTTCAGGTTTTATAATGCACAAGTTCACATGAGACATTGGATATGTTTATCCTTATGCAATTACGAAACACTTTACAATAATTCTTTTCAATGTTTGTGGCTACAGCACAAGAAATTTCAAGACAAAATAACCAGTGCTTCTGCGGAATGATGGTACCTCACTATCTAAATCTAAATGACCTGAGAAAATGTTTGCACTTGCTATACACTTGATATGGGTGCTGGTCTGCTTTGTCTCTTCCAGTATTTGATCATGATTTCTTGGGAGAGTGTATAGAGTACCATTTCCTAGACAGCAGTGCAACAAGACTGGGTCTCCCACTGAAGGAGAATTATATTATGTCAGGTTTCAACAGGGGTGATATCACTTCTTTTAAACATTTGTTTAAAAATGTCTGCTTTTCATAAATACTAGCCCACAAAAGTACCTGCAAATACAGATGCAGCCATTCAAAATGGGTGAGGTATTTCGCGGCATACCGCGACACGCCCACCGGGGTATCACGCAGTTCACGTGTGTCACGTGACTAACTATCCGGCGTCGCCTTGTAAAACCGCCAGGGGGAGCTTAACCTCTCATGTACAGCATTTGAGCCTTTAATTTTGAACTGTGTATTAC